GTTTCGATTGAGTTTTAAACTTTCCTTCTTTCAACTAATCAATAATTTCTTGTTAGTCAATTTCAATTAAAATAAATAAAGCGTATTTCGGAAATTCAAATAAGATAAGTTCCTATCAAAATTATTCATATTTTTCAAATAAAGAAATCAATTTGAAAAAAAACATGCCGACTGGCGACAGTAACAGATTATTTGAGATTTCCCTCGAATTTGCTATCAAAAGGTTAAAGACATCCAAATAGTTCGTGCAAGTGGTTTTATTACAAATAGGAGATCAGCTTGTACGTGTATATATCAGGAAAAACAATCATTTTTTGATTACAAGGAACTGCAACAAATCTCTGAGAAATTTTGATAAGATATTCACTGATAATTCTTATCATCGTGATTGCTGTTTCCCTCATCATCTACTTCTCAAAATCAATTGATTAATCTGAAATAAATGAAATTTGGATATGATAATAAAGCATTTTCTTGCCTAAGTTTACATATACGTATTTTCTAATTATCTATGATGTCAATCTAATTTTTTTTGCTTCATAACTAAAAAATATTACTTCACGCTTCAGGCATTCTTATCCGATAAACAACTTTAGGCTTAATTCGTAACGTTAATCTTTAATATTTATGTTAATATTTATATTTCTTTTTTGCTATTAAGTTACTGGCACTTAACTTTTTAAGTCAAATCTCTATTTACTAACTTTTGCGTCAAATCTTAGTCATAAAATGTATTGAGTTTTATTTAAGAATTTTTCATGATTATTTAAATTTAGATTAGAGCTTGAAGCTACCTATTCTTAAAAATAAAATTAGATTACAAATTGTTGTTAAAAAAAAATGAAAAAATAAAATTTTAGCATAAAAGTTGAAGAAATATGAAATTTCCACGTGGAGAATTTCGTACTGCAATGCTTGAAAGTAAATCTTATCATTGATTTGAAAGGAGCGATAGTTTCTTCTCTTCCCAATTTATTAAAATATTCATTAAAGGATCGTATCTCTGCGCCTTTCGTATTTTAATAAGTTTTCATTTTATGCCCCAAAATTGAAGCAATTTGTGGAACACTAAACTGGTGATTAGTATTATAAATTTTATAGCAAATTATAAAAATTGATAAGAAAAGATTATCTAAAAGAAGAAAATGTCTTCCGACTTTATCAATCACAATATCTTTTCATTTTATCTTTCGCTAATTGAAATTTTTAGAAATAAATAAATTTCATTAGCAACTTCTATTAAATTTAACAAAAATTTAAATTATCTTAAATTATTTTTGGGGAAGATTTTTTTCATATTAGTAACTATATAAGAAGGACAAAAAATTATGGATATAAGAGGCTGTAAAGCCTACTTCTTTTGTGAAGCCTAATGCTTTTCTTCCACTTTCAATAATGTACAGTGTGATCTGTTGTTAAAGGAAGAAAGAGTTGTTGCAATCAATGAAATGGAAATGCTACACTATGTATCCCTAATAGTTGCTAAGGAACTCAAATGATACAATGTTGTTATATGTCTTAAAGTAGAATTTGTCACCAATTTAGCTATCTCTGATTGTTTATATTCATTCAGTTAAAAATTCATTGGAAAAAGTTGAATTGTTGAATAATTTATAATTTTAGCAGTAAAGTCTTGAAATTATAATAGTTGTTGAAATTCAATTATGATAGGCCTTTTTTATGGCAATGAAAATTGGAAGAAATAAGATTTCTTACCTTGAAATGATAATATGATTGCCTTTCAACAATAAATTAATTCTATTAATTTAATTATATATCACATAAGAAAGAAGATATTTCTAATTTTTTAAATAAATCGTATTTATCACTTTTACATGAATTTTTAATGATTTGAATAAACAAATTATGATTTTCAGGATTGAATTTTTACTAAGTTGAAGTGTAAAATATGCTAAAATCTCCGATGAAACGATAATCGAGAGAATAATTTATTTAAAATAATACTACTTCAATTGTATTTATTAACTGTTATAGGATTGTAATCGGAGATGAGTGATAATATCTACAATATCAATGCTTTATACATTTAATGGTCATCGATGATTTCATATTTTGCGTCCATATTTTTACCACATAATCTACCTGTATTCATTCTTATTCTCTTTTACCATTTCCAGTCGGGTACTGTTATTGTGGAAGCAACTAAATGTTATTCATGCGCTAATGATTTTATTGTTTGGCATTGGAGGCATTTCTTTCTGAAACGAAATTATGGCATTACAGCAAGTGATCAGAGCTGCGCTAAATCAGATTATACACCTGAAATAACGCACCTTTGTCCTTCGGCCTGTTTCATCATGTATTTGAATGGTACCAATCGACATAATGGAATAATCAGTGTTCTTGGTAGGATGATTAAAATTTGTTAAATGAAGCAGTGTGATATATATTATACTTGATATTTTAAAGTTTTGAATAATTTGTGGAATTTTTAATAGTCACACTTGAAATTTCCCAAGTACCAAGTATTTTTCTTCTTTCTTTTTTTTGAAAATCTTAAGAATTTAATATTGGAAAAGTTCGTCTTTTGCTTCCTTACATTTTCAACATTGCAAGAAAGAAGCTGAACTAAATGAAAATGAAGAAACTCAGAGAATTGGTTCGCATTTCGAATGTTTCTGTTAAAGAGGCACAAAAGTAATCAATAAAATTATTCTAAACAATTATCGAAATTTTCATCATTCATTCCTTATGTACCCATTATTTTAAACTCTGCAAAGTTTCCCCAACAATTTCGGTTGCAGGAATTGTACGTGGTTGTTCGTCGCAATTCTTAACCAGCGATCAACATTTGCAACTCGGTCTTGGCCCACATTCACGTGTTTCTCAAATCGGCAATTATTTGTCATCTGAATTTGATATGGTAAACATTCCGCGAATTTTTTAATTTAAAACTTGTAGATTTTAATTTAATTTTGGCATTTTATAATCTGAACTAATAGATTTATGGGAAATGTACAACTTTACATATAACAAATTTTAATATCTCAAAATCTTTCCTAATTAAGCATTAGACATTAACTTTAGCTAAGAATAAAATTTAGAATCGAAAATTAAATTGTGCCAAAATAAATTTATCGATTCATGTAAAATTAAGGCAAAAAATTATAAATTATTTTGATTTTTTCATTTTCTGAAAAGAAACATAAAAGCTATTCATTAAAAAAATTTACAACAATTACTAATCAATTCTGTTTAATTAATGAGAAATTTGATTGAAGTGCTTTTTAGTACGATATAATAGAGCATTGGTGCTTCTGTACCACCGATCAATGCAATGAAAAAAGTTGCTATAATGGAAAATCATATTCAGAATTTACGTCAAGGCGACAGCAGCATTTCTTTGACAAATACTTTTTTACAGATGCTTCCAGTCAAGCAACTTTAAGCTCATACTTAATTATTTTGTTGTTATCAACAATAATTATGTGATACAATAAAGCAAACTATTTAACTCCTTATTTTTTTCATTTCAAAACAATTGCTTCCACAATCTTTGTAAAAATTATTTCAATTATGGAAAGGCCTTCATGATACCTTATTACCACAAAGATTAATCTTACAGAAACTGTAAATTTTCATAACTTAGAATTATCAAATTCCTGGCAAAATTTTTATCGAATCTTCAAGTTTACACTTTGCATCAGTAATTTAAAATAATAATTAATGTAATTTAATTTTATTGAAGAATAAAATAAAATGTAACTCATTTAAAAATAGTTGAAAAAGATGAAGAACACTGACATCTGGTATCATTTACCATGGCACTGCTATTGGATTCAAAACTACTATAAATACCCAAAATATTCGTACCAATATAATACCACTAGTAGTTTATTTGAGATTAATTAACGGATAGTCGGAATTTACTAATTTCGAATTCATTACCAATTCATCGTTTTCGTCTGATAACTTTCCCGTTATAGATAGATCTATTGGCCAATTTTTCAATATCATCAAGCATAAAGAAAAATTTCTTAATGTTGTAATCATTCATTACTGATAATTCTTGCGCATATAAACATAAGCATATTTAACAAGATAAAAATTCAACAAAATAAAATGATTTTATTTCAGTACGATCAATGAAATGGGCATAATAATACCCAGAAGAGTATGCTAATTGCATCTAGCAAGTATATTACTGCATTTGAATATATTTTAGTTAAAAATATTTGCAATAAATCAATTGCAAAATATGTTTCTCTTCTCCTTCATCCATTATCTCCTCCATTCTTTCAACTAATTCAAACTATCTATCTCATCAATTTCACCTCCTTCACAAAAAGTGCTTTCACGATAAAAATTTGTATTTATTCATATATTTGAAATTTCAGGATGACTATCTTAACAATTATAAGCTAATAGAAAGAATTGATTTTAAACTCTTTGAATGATAGATAATTTCATCAATCAAATAGAAAATGAAATAAAACAGTAATTGTAACACAAAGAGCAGAAATATCCGTAAAAGAAAATATAAAATCGAACACTTATTTCTTTCCTTCACTGAGTAAATAAATCAGTTTTATAAAATGGCTATGAAATTTTGCAATAAAATAAGAAATAACTTATTTCTGGGAAATTTTTAAATTTAGGAAATTCAAAGATGGAAATGATAAAAATTGTTTACATAGCTTTAAGTTTCAAATAAATAAAAAGAAATTACCAAAAGCACAATAAAACAAAGAATGTAAAAAACTATTTTTAAATTAAGCTTAATACAAAAATTAATCGTGAATTATAAGAAAAATAATTTGATTTTTAAAAATCATTTCAATTTTTCAGATAATCATTTTTTCACTATATCATAATAATTCCTCTAAGCTGAATACTTCTTCAGCTAATTATCTGGGATTGAATGTTTAATTGATGTGGAATATGTCAGATTGCTGATATAAATGATTTAATTAAAACTAAATTAAATTATTAGATAAATGCTGCAATCTATTTCTCACTTAGATTATTACAGCAATTTCTTAAATACGTCTTAGTTTGGGTGGACTTAAATTACCATTTGCTATTTCATCTTCAACATATACGAATGTAGAAAATTTTGACGTTGATTCTTGAAATTCAGTATTTTCATCATCCGTGCTGAGATTCCGTAGTGGTGGAACGGGAACAGATAAACGCATTGTTGTTTTAACAGATGGCGATGCATTAATTGGTACAAATGATTCCGTACTTGTACTCATCAAATTTATTGCCATTGCTGGAGATAATACCTGTCGTTCTTTTGATCCACTTATATTCACTTCATCATTTCCTATATTGTAGAAATTTCACATTATTTCACATTCTAACTTTCTGTTAATATTATTCCCTCAATTTCAATCATTTCATTTAGTAAATTGACAAGGGATTGAACAGACAAATAGTAGAAGAATTCATTAATCAGAGTAAAACACTTCTAATAATACAATAATTTGAGTTTGTTGACAGTACGCGCCAAGCATATCCTTTTTACATTAGCATATTTATTTTCCCATTCTATATTAAACAAAATAAACCCCATTTTACAAATGTTTTTTGAAGAAAGCTTATTTAGAAATGCAAAGAAACGTGAAATTTGATGAGAAAAAGGCATACCTTTATTGGAGCGATACAATTCAAAAATAAGTTTTTCCAAATTCTCCAATTTGTGAGAAATGTAATTAACTGTATGCAATTTCTCTTCAATACGTTCAAAACATTTCTTCAGTTCAGGATGAAACTGGTTTAAATTCTTAAATGATAGATTAATCCGATCAATGAATACTTGCAAATGTAGGCCATCTCTGTTCTACTTTATTTTATCATAGCCTTATCAATTATTAAATAACTATTTAGTTAGATTTATAATAGCAAAATTTGTCGCTTGATAATTGCCTTTGATAAAGAATAGAAAATGTACTTTCGATTTATTTTGATTTTTAGTTTGTGAATCAAAGCACGCCGGGTGAGAAAAGATCTTTTGTCAAAGCGTAAGACTTACAATATTATCGATATTCCGCTGAATATCACTGCTCCAATGTATTTCATTCAAGTCATTCACTGAAGTAGTGGTCATACGTATTAGCGATCGCCTTGTCTTGGCTTGCTGAAGCAGTTATTATGTCCCACCAATCTGACTCTTATTAAGATTACAATAACTCAACAGAATGTGGTAAATCTTGAGCATTTGCTTTCGTGATTTCTTTAAAATTAGAATTCAAAAGGCTAAACAATCACTTTGTGTCATATCTTCTCGATATTGCTAAAGAAAAAGCTGACCAGTTCGAGATCAGCAAAGATCTTTGATGGAAGTATTCGGGTAACATATCTTTCACGCATCCTAAATAATAATTTCCGAACAGGATGTTCTGCTGGAACCGTAAGCTTTTCATTTTTAAGTCTTTCATCCAATTCCTTTTCTCTTTTCACATCAACTACTTTACGGAATTTTAACTGAAATATGCAAGCTTCAAAAATGATTAAAAGTTCGGTGCTTATTTTTGGTATAATAATTTTTGTTTCTTATCAGTAAAATGATTTATAAAGCAAAAGCCAAAAAACGAAAGAAAAAGTTGAAACAAAAGTACCCGACGAGTGAGATTGTATGTTAGCACCATATTACGAGCGAATGAATTTGCGAATGCTTTATAGAAATAAAGCACCTAAAATAATTTTTTCTTAAAAATAGCATTTAATCATCCTGAAAAATTGCTTTTTTGAAATTTAAAAGATTTTGTAAAAATTGTTTGTTTGCAATTTCGAGGAAATATCTGCGAAAGATATTTAAAATGAATTTTCGAAGTAAAATTTAATATAACGAAGATAATTACTATTTGTCTAGTAAATTTAAAACTATATATTAAGCCATAGTAAGTTCTATTAGTTTCTGCAAAATAATTTTCGTTTAATTTTTTTGAGATTTTTATTCAAGCTATAGAAAAATGTGAAAAATGATCGGTTTACCTCCATAAGTTTATTCTTTTTTATGGAATGTAAATCTGCATAAGTGAGAGCACGAACGTTAGCAGCACTTCGACCCGTTTCAAGCTGTTTCCAAAATTCATCACCAAAGACATCACCCTTTCCTGAACTTGTTCATGTAAATTAATAATAAGAAGCGAAAACTATGGGTCAGAATATTACAGAAAGAAATAAATACAATCGAAAATTTTTTAAGACATATAAATTTGTTTTAGAAAAGAATTAATATTTGATAAATAAATTTATAAATTTCAAAAATAATCAGTACCAAGAATGGCGACAACTTCATCATCCTGTATCACTTCAAGTGATCCCGAAACAACAAACCATAATGCATCAACCAATTCACCAGTATGATAAATCAAATCACCGGGAGCTGCATGATTGCTCTGTAATCATATTCTTATCAGGTTCGCTTTTTTTAATTGGTACCTTATTTTCTTTTTAATTTACAGTTTCATTATTAAAACGACCAAGTTCAATATCATGTGATGCATGGATGCATCACATGATATTTTGTAATTTAAAATGCCTCATTTTTGTCAGCCATAATATAAAATCTTGAGATGTTTCTGGAAAATTTGATATCGTTTGAGCCCAGTGATCTCAGTTTATAATGAAAACTTTATAACACTTAAAAATTTCATTAAAATTCAATAATCTGTTGGAAGAAATTGGCGATCATTTACTTGTTAAAGTTCAAAAGTTTTATTTCACATAAAATTAAAAACACTTTTTAAGTTGCAGAAATAAGGAGAAACCTTAAGATGTACGGCAAATTGTCGAAGACAACCATCAGAAGCAAGCCGAAAACAGGGATGTTCGTTAAATACCTTTCTATTCAGGTGTACACAAATATCTGCTTTCATATCATTTGGACAATAGCTGAGAACCTTAAATGAAATAAAATAAATTAAATTCTAATTTGATGCATGCAATTTTACAGTAAAAATTTAGAGTTTCACCGACTTTGATTTTGCCTTAATTTAGCAATTATTTTTATAAAAATTAACAACGAAAATTTGCTTACAATAGTATTCAAATATCGAATGAATTTAAGTTTCTCTCAATGTTTTCTGTGTCGGCCTTATTTCTTTTCAATAATTTTGCTAAAGAAAATAAACAACCTTTGAAGTATCGATGCCTTTAGTCATTGCCCAGGTACTAATTACATAATCCATTACTCGTTCAGCAAGCTCATTTGGCACCTCCTGTAATTTAATGAATTCTCGAACATTTGCTATCATGTTATGATATCTGAAACAATCGATGATTAAAATTGCATTTCATTTCTTTCAACAATTATGAAAAGAATTTCATCCAGTATTTTTTATCGTATTAATCTTTCTATCCTTAGCTTTTCTCAAAGATCAATATATTAGATTAAGTGATTTAATGAAATGCAACAATCAGTGACCCTATAGTAGCAGATGTCATTTGTTGTATAATATTAGTCATGTGGCCAAATATAGCAGCATATAATAGTGCAGCAATGATCATCATACATACGCCAAATACTTTCTCATTATCAGTTGTGGATGCTATATTGCCAAATCCAACGGTTGATAAGCACGACATTGTGAAATACAACGCTGTGAATAAATTTATTAAATGCTAATTTAATTAAAATTCATAATTATTCAAAAATTACACTTCATCTGTTAATAAATTTCAGATAAAAAAGGCAAAAAAATAAATTCGAGAAGCAAAACTTAATACAAACAAATATATTAGTTATGCGAATAACTAATATATTATTGTTTGGCATATTCTACAGTTATGTGAATAACAAAAGCCAATCTTACCACTTATATAAGCAGAACTTCGTTGAGGTCCACCAACCAATCTCAGCTTATCTTTAAATGTATAATTGAAAGGTGAGTTCAATTCTTTCGACAGCTTCGTTAACCATCCTTCCGGCATTGTTGGTACTAAAAACTGAAAAAAATTGAAAGCAATATATATTTAAGCGAAAGATTTAAATCTTCAATTTCTAAAGATACATTTCGCAATATCACTTTTCACTTCTATCAATTAATTATTATTAATGCTTTATTACTTTAAAAATTCGCATAACTTTTTCATCTTTATTCTATATAACCTTTTTTACAAAAAAAGTTAAAAAAATAATATAAATATACCCTTATCTTAACTTCATATTCACCAATAGAAAACCATACGCAAGCTAACCAATGAGCGGCAAGTACATAAGCGCATAAAAGTAAAAGTAACGTTGCCGCACCGTATTCAAGATAATTATCAAGTTTACGTGCTACACGTCCAAGTCGAAGTAAGCGTACCACTTTTAATGCACTTAATAATGATCCCATTCTCTGTAAAAAAAATTCAATTTAAAAATATCTCCTCTAACAAAAACATTCGTAGTATTGCTAAATTATGCAACTAAGCGGAAATTTGTCTTAAACCAAAAATAGGATAAGCGTAAAATTAGTAATTTAAAAAAGTGAAAAAGAAAAAAAGGGAAATCATTTTGTATAAAATAGAATTTACCTCATCATTATGCTTAAACATATAAAATATATCATATGGAAGGCAAGAAAGGAGATCGATGAGAAACCATGATTTAAAATAGTTATACCTTATTGTATTCGGATCGATTACAACCTTAAAAAATAAGCAGTTAATTATCATTGAGGATGAAAATAAGCATCTGATATTCATCATTTCTCTTTCATCTTTATAGATGTTTGAAAATTTTAAGAAATTCTTATTGTTTGATGTTTTTTGAAAGAAATTTCAAAAGAAAAATTAAGAATATCTAAGCATTGTATGTAACTTTGAGCATTTCATCTTCTCTTTTCTTGCAAAACCTTTTTACAAAATTATTATTATTATTATTGTTGTTGTTGTTGTTTCATTTGTTTACAATTTTTTCAAGAAAATGTTCATATCGGTTAGCTCAGTAATTCATAAATTAATTCCAAAAAAAAATTAAATTTTAAGCATTCAAAGGATTTAACGAATTATTCTTAGCATTATAAGCTAAGAAAATTGTATTTAAATCAATTTAATCTATCCAACAAGTTTCTGCTATTTATGCATGACTTACTTCACCACCGGGACCAACAAATGTTGTATGAAAATTTAACAAAATATCAGCAAAGAATATCACATCAACGATTGAATCCATAAGAGCGACCATATCAATGGTACCACGAGGTGGATGTTCCCGTGTCTGCAAATAATATGAAGCACTTTTATTAATAAAATGTTGAACTTACTTTGTTATGCTATTTAGAAGTAATAATGGGTATTGTTCAATATAAAGTTATAATTAATAGAAATCTTTCAACAATAGGAACAAAATACTCAACAAAAAATAAACTGCCAATAATGGCTTAACAAATAAATATGATACAACCTTGAAGGCAATATTGTAAGGTACAATAAAAGCAGTATAAAAAGTGAGAGCCAAAATAGACCAATCCCATATCGTTTTAAATGTCGAATAATGCAAAATGACATGTGGTGATGTTTTTGGTGTCTCTTGTTGATACTGTGGCAATAGATCACCACCGAGGCTCATCACCTGACGATACAGCTGACTTCTTTATCTTATTAGTCAGAGTTATTTTCGAATTATTCTTAGGACTGCTTGTTAGTATAAATATCGAATTATTCGCCTAAAAATTTGTGTCCAATCTTTTAGGCGAAACAAATGGAAAGTTATGAATTGCCTGATGTTTAATGAAACGTAATGGCAATAATAACTAATAATAATAATGGTAACAATGATGATGATGATGACAATAATAATAATAATTAAAAATAATAATTTGAGATGGATATGTGGGCAGAGATGAATGAATATATTGAAATTATGAAGAATGGAAAATAAAAAGACGGAAAGACAAACTTTGATAACTTGATTGAAATTTGACGACGTTGCACTCGTCGTTTTATGCAGATCTTTTGTTTTAATTTGATTAAATTGCTGCCTGCTTTTTGCAATTCTTGCAATTTGCAAAATTCGTGAGAGGCCCAAATAAGAAAATGTTCATTATTTAATTTTAAAATATCAATTTGATTACAAAATGGTGAATAACGATAATTTCCTTAATATCAGACTTAATTTTACACTGATGATAAGCAAGACATGTACATAATAATTCATACTAATTATTCTTACTTTCGTGGTCTATCGAAATTCTCTTCTTTCTCAGTAATATTCTATCAACTTGAAGCCTATCATTTTTAATTCTATTTAGTTTCAAGTAAAATGGATTCTATTAAATAAGCAAAAATCTTTTTTTGCTAAATTTGGTTTTAAATTAACTATAAGAAAAAGCTTTTCGCAGGTAAAAGCTTTTTTAAGACACATAAATTACTATGAAAATTATTAAAAGTAAAATTTCATATGGTAGTACAGAAAGCTTTTACTATAGAATAAATAAAGCGAAACATCCTTACCTCTATTATTTTCATCAAGCGGCTCTTTAAAAGGTGTGATATCCCTGAATTGGCACAAATACAGTACCACCTGATTATGATTATTCTTGATCGGAGCGATGTACACCAATAGCCAAAGGAGACTTCCTAGAAAGCTTTTGAAATGGCTGAAAATTTTGCTTACTTTTTAAAAATTAAAATGGGATGAAAATTAACTATTAATCGGCAGTGTTAAATAGTGCTGATAACAATTTTCAGCGGTGAAATTTGATTTAAATTTAGAGAAAAATCTTTTATTAAATTGAATAGGCACTTTTTGGATCGCTATTTTTGACTAACTTTTCAGCTGCCTAATTTTTCAAAAAGTAGGTTAAATTCGCAGTTAGCTTTATTCAAATATTCTTAAAGGGTTTTAAAATGTTTTTCAAAAACGAACTGTTTTTTCTACGTAAACCAATTTCTGTTTGTTCATGTTTACACATATCGAGCGCATTTTGAATCTTCTTCACTGCTTCCGGTCTACTATCGCTCGAATGCATAAAGGAAAGTCTTCAAAATAAAATAATCAAATAGACTGAAGCGATGTTCAATAATCTATCGGAATCAGTCATATCCAGTTTTCCTCATTTTCATCAAACAGTAAAAAATATTCTTCATCATAAAAATGAAATAGTTGTAAAGATATCATATACTGTAAAGTTACATTTGGTCAAATTTATTTATTATTTTGAAAGTGAGAAGCAAATCAAAGGGATCGCTGTGTAAACTTACGAGCAAGGTTTCTGCATAATTTCAGCCCTTGAATATCCTACCATCTTAGCAAAACCGTCGTTGCAGTACACGATCGGATATTCTACTATTTGAGCATTTGCTAATATAAAACTAGTATCTGAAAAAGAATTAAAAATGTTGTCTTCCATTTTAATGCGTCAAAAATTGTATATTAAAATCAATTAAAATAACCGAAATATTGCATAGTTTTTAAAGTTAGGCATAATTTATTATAATTTAATCTTGCAACAAAAAGGAGAAGACAAATTTGAGTTGAAATATTTGCGACAAAGTTCATTACATTGTCTCAGCGCGATCGCGCTTTTGCAATTATTCATCTTTAAATTCTTCTTTCTCATTGATAATACTTCGGTTTTTCTCGTTTTAGCAATACTTATTATTTTAACTTTGACTGCGAAATTTTATGTGTGAGTAGCCCTAACGAATATAAATTTCACAAATTAGTTGAACTGTTAATGGGAAATAGTGTATATGAATGATTAGATATACCTATAACTGTCAATTTAGCTCACTCACAGTTTGCCTGAAATGGTGAAATATAATTCCGTTAAGAAGTCAATGCTTTAAGAAACTATAGAATAAGGCTAGTGAATCAGAAATCTTATAAAATGAAGCATTAGTATGAAATGTCAATTCCATTTGATCGATTTATGAATTTCTAATCTTTCTATCCGGAAATCGTATTCTTATTGTCGGAATTCTTAAAAGATTCATTGCCAGTAGATTTCTCTTTTTAATAAGTGCCTATTTATGATAGCATGTATAGCCTACTTATTATCTCATATGAGAAAAACCAATAAATTACCTAATAATATCATACCTTATCATTAGAAATTTATTGCTTTTTCTCTTATGAGCTTTTGACGTCAAACGGCCGATGATTTACTTTCAATTCTTCGATAACTCAGCATAAATAACTCTAATATTACATCATCTAATGATTCAATTTAAATTCCAATGACTTGAATGCAGCCTTCAGAAATGAGTTTTTCGATTGTTACAAAAACGTTAAACATACCAGAATTATTGCAACGTCTGATAACATTTTCAAGGAATGTATTTTGTGGAGCGACGAGTCCTCGTTTAACCACAGGCATGCCAATCCCCTTCACATCGATAGTGATAGATGATATTTTATATCGTTTCTTCTTTTTATCCCAATATCTTTTCAATTGCTCAATTTCATAAATCCTTTAAAGAAAGAATTATTGGTTAGTAGCCATTTTTCTTCTACAAACTTCCTTCATTAACAGTTATATCACTTTTCAAAAAAAGGCTTTAAAAATAAATTGCATTTCAATAAAAACTTTGAAGTTAAAACAATTATTCAAATCTTACTTATCGTACAAACAAACAAAAGCATTCAATTTGTAAGAATAATACATTTAAGTTAAGGTTGGTTTCTGAATAAATCTGAATTCCATGTCATCCAAGAATTTCAATTATAAATAACTAACACTTTTACAATAGCCATATGTAATCGTTGTGTTCACTTCTGGCAATATCAGAAATGTACATTGTTATGGCTTTTCTATAAACTATTTATAACAAATTTGAATTGTTTAAAATTCAAGGATTTCCAAAATTTCATAAGTTTTACTATTTTTTTCTGTCCTCTCTATATTTGCAATGTATGTTTGCAAGTTTCACATGTTTGATTAACTTGCAGATTGAACAAGATTACTTGCAAACTTATTCTGTATGATTTTGAAAATGCAAGCGTAATTAAAAGCGAAATTGAAAAAATTTAACTATTGAATAGAATGTTCACATTGGCATTCTTATAAATAATTTCTAAGTTTCTGCATATTTATATGGCGTTTATAATTGGTGTATGGAATTAAAAAAAGTTATAAGTTTGCTTTGAATTGCACGAAAACTGCGCGTTATGCGTGTTTGCTATGAAGAAAGCATTCATCGAAGCGATATGAAATTGAGGAAATTTATTTGAAAAAAATTTTTTTTTCATTTTTTAATGAAAAGAGAAAAACAAGGAGAAAAATGCTTTTCACTTATTTATAGTCTTCAAACAATTATAGAATCAAAGGCTTCCTATATTTTACCTTCTATTTTTGACTCTTTGCTGAGCCATCTAAACTTTCTTTTATTTAAAGCTGAAAATCATTAGCTTACTAAATCTTTAAAAACTCTTCAAGAAGAAATCGCTTCTTTCTTTCTTTTTGTTACGCTTAGTTAGTTAAGCTAAAATATAAATTGCATATCTAAAACAAAACAAGGCAGAAAAGAAAATGCAGAATAAATATGTGGAAATTTTTGAAAATTAATTGAAATATGATGAAAGGATTTTAAAATAACGAATATCATCGAAAAAAAAATTTTAGTCGATTAATTTCTAATATTTATTGATAATGTAAGAATGGATGAAATGAGTAATGATAAAACAATGCTAAGTGTGTTATAATTAATTTCAAGGTAATCTAAAAATTTTTCATTACAATAAAAAAGGTGTGAAAATAAGAAATATTGTTTTAAAATTAAAAAATACTAAATTAATTACTAAATTAATAAACTTTATAGCCAACCTGTGTTAAGCATAAATAATTTCTAACTAAGCTTTTTGCTGTTTTCATATAATACGAAATTATGTAAACATCAAATGAATATGTGTGATAAGTTTAGGAATTAGAAGCATTTACCCTAATGGCTTTAGTTTTTTCAATGTGAAATTTATTTTGTTAGTAAGCTTACTTGTTTATCATTTTTTTATACATTTTAAAATTGTTTATATGATTTCTCACCATGGTGACAATAAATTAATTTAATAATTCTTATGTTATTGACAAAGCATAATTTTGCCTTACATATTCATACATCTCTCTCTCTCTCTCTCTTTCTTTCTCTCTCTCTCTCTCTGTTTTAAACATAGGTATTATTTTATAAAAAGTTTTGCGATATATACTTTTTGAACTAAAATAAAACAATACAGAATAAATTAATTTCATTAAAAAAAACATTGAAATAATGCGTAGAGTAAAATGGAATGAAAGATATAAAGCAAGGAATTAAATTTAAAATTTCTACAATTTGAAATTTAATTTGTCTTTTGAAGGAATTTGATTAAAAGGAATTTTTGTAAAAGAATTTGATAATTTCCATAAAACTTTTGTTCAAATCAAAAAAGAGCCAATGATGCAAATAAATAATAAAATATTTTGGGTAAAATATTATTCGTTTGATTTGAAGTATAAATCTGTCAAAGAAATGATTCAAATTTTTCAAATAATATAAATACTTTGCGAAGGATTAAAATCCATTTCATCCGCTGGAAATTATTAAAATTAATCGAAAATCAGCATTTCACATAATATAAATGAGACTGTAACTTTCATTCATTTTAGCTATCTCAGGTCAGAAGGAGATATGATTGATTTACGACATAGCTGGAGATAAGATGTAAAATTCTCAACATCGGTATTGGGAAAAAATGATCGATCGTTCAAAATTCATTTTAAATATCAGTCATTTAGTTATGGCATTTAATTGAACCGAAAATTCTATCCAATATGTATATATTACTTATTCTTTATGGCTTGCTTATTCTTTCTAATAAACAGACATGTGGAAATAATTATGTGCATAAGTGGAACAGACTTGTTTATTTAGTATCGTTAACCAAAATGTAGAAATGTAACTGGGAAGTTTTCAACACAAAGTTTTCAAAGTTTTGTATTGCTGATATCATTACTCGTCGCATTATCAGTTTAGCACAAATTATCATGAACTATCTATCAATTGCAAAATAAAATCCTCAAATGAAAGGATAAGAATATATATGAGACAGCTTGAAAGCAAATGAAAAAAGTCATAATAATCAATATGCTTAATGTTAATTTTCTTTTTTCTTGGAGGAGGGCTAAAGCAAAGTAGAAAATTCCATTTTTGAATGAGAAGCGACAGTGAAAATGGATGGTTGAAAATAGTTTGATATCATTGTCAGTTTGATACCAATATCAGTTTGATATCAATATCAGTTGATATCATTACCGACAAACATCGCTTCATTTTTAGTCCCTTCCTCAGTCTTCTAAAAAATTAATTTATTTTACGGTTTCTACAAAATATGAAAATCTTTTCTTTCGAAGAAGTACAAGTATCATCACCCATTTTCACACAATACACAAATAGCAAAATGGCTTTTCTTTTAACATCCAATTTTTAAATGAATAAAAAAATGGCAGAAATATAATATTTATTCTTAAGTAGAAAAGGAATAAAGTAGAAAAGGATCGATGTGATTTCTTCCTTTTTAAGTATTTGCTCTTATTGCTTATTTTGAGTCGAAATCTTAAAATTGAACGCTTTTCTAATTCTAAATAAGCCGCACATCAAATAATTTTTTTCACGGCAGTAGAACGTATGAAGAATATGAAAAAGCAAATAATATCTTTCTTCTCTTTCATATCTCCACTTATTAGTATTGAAAAATTGTACTCCTTTGCCATGTTAAGACAAGCTTCATTACATTTGAGTAAAGATTAAGGAGTAGGAACTAAAGCACTTAGCCATTACCGCAGTACTTTGACGCATCTGCTCCAACTCA